AAAAAGCCCCCCGTGGCTGGGGCTCTGCCCACGCCGCGGCCAGGTCCTCGCCTTCCCTCCGCCTGGGCCACCTTCCATTCCCTCTCTCCTGCCTCATCCAACCTGTTTTTATTTCTCCTCTCGGCCACCCCTCCCCGCCTGCCTTTCCTAACTTCCTTTGCTCTCAGGCGACCCCCGCCCCCCCAGTCTCCTGTTGACCCTGCCAGGCCCCAGCGTCCAGGCCCCAGTGTCCAGGCCCTGTTCTGCCTGAGGATTTTCCACTGGGTTCTCCAGGCCAGCAGACAGACCGGGGCGGGAGCAGGAGGCCCCTAGGTACAGGCTGGCTTGATTCCTCATGCCCCCAAGGCCTGGAGTACAGATCGCTGACAGTTATTGAGCACCTGCTAGACCATGGGTGTTGTTCGGGGATCTTGCAAGCATTAAGTCACTTAACCAGTGTAGCTACCCCATGGTCTGTTTTACAGGTGGGGCCGCCTAGGAGCAGGTGATTTGAGTAATTTGTTCGTGATCAGGGCACCCGACTTTAAAACATAGCACCTGGTCCATTAGCATCCCTGTCGCTGCTGCTGACCTGTCCACCGTGGTCTGGGCCCTGTTTTGGGCACTGGCTAGGGGACGGTGGCCGAGGAAGCAGATCCTTTTGGGTGGTGATACATGATAGGGCCCATTGAGAAAAGAGAACAGTGTAACAGCTGGACAGTTTCATCCTCATAAGGGGAGCGGGCAGGACATCTGTCCTGGTGGGCTCTGAGGCCGAGGAGAAGAAATACAAGTGGCCAGTCAACCTGCTGCAAGTCAAGCCCGCGGTGAACTCTCTAATGCCCATTTGGTTGACTCCACAGTAAAACGTTGGACAGTATCAGGTAGTTGCAAAGGTTGTGGAGGGAAGGCTGGTGGTGGTAGGACGGGTGACAGTGGGGCTGGTGGTGGCAGGACGGGTGACAGTGGGGCTGGTGGTGGTAGGACGGGTGACAGTGGGGCTGGTGGTGGCAGGACGGGTGACAGTGGCTTTGGTGAGCTGGTGGGCGTTCTGTCCTAATTGGAGCATGTGTAAACCTGGGAGTCAGCAGTTCTCACTTCCAGGATTCTACCTGTGAGAAAATCCTGCGCATTTTCCACAGGAGACCTGAGGGTACTTCAGAAAATTCATGGAAAATGAGATTAAAAGATAAGTCTGTTTTGGCGCAAAGAAATTGATATCCTTGCATCCAAAAAGTTCATGAAAATTGGGGCTGGCTGTCTGGTGTAGCAGGTACAGCTGTCACCTGTGACCCTGCCATCTCATATGGGCACCAGTTCAAGTCCTGGCTGCTCCACTTCCAATCCAACTCCCTGCTAATGCACCTGGGAAAGCAGTGAAAGATGGCCCATGTGGGAGACCAGGAAGAGACTCCTGGCTTTGGCCTGGCCCAGCCCTTGCTGTGGTGGCCATTTAGCGAGTGAATTAGTGGATGGAAGATATCTCTCTTTCTCTCTCTCTCTCTCTCTCTCTCTCTCTCTCTCTCTCTCTGTCACTCCCCTCCTCTCTAACTCTGCCTTTCAAATAAATGAAATAAACCTTATTAAAGAATTGATGAAAATGCATGTTATGAATAAAGTATGCATGGACTTCGAAACTTTTGGCACCAAAATAGACTTATCTCTTAATAGAGACTTATCTCTTAATGCCATTTCCATGGACTTTTTGAGGTACCTTCTGTGTATATGAAGATGCATAAGCCTGGTTCCCACCAATGAAAACCTTGAAGGACTTCTAGTGCCTACCCCTAGGGAGTAGATGGGATGGTGCAGTATTGCCACACAGAGGAATATCATATAGCAGTCAAAAATGAATGGATTGGACCTTAGCATTATGATATTAGGTGAAAAGTTAGGTCTAAAAGATTGCATATGCCATGAGAATGTGAAACAACAAAAATTAAAAAGTCCAGCTATTTAGGAATATATATCATGTATTTGTATAATATTAGCTAAATAGGAAAGCCAGAGGGTGATGAGCATGGGACTTGTGGTTACATTTTTCATGCATGAGGAGTGGAGACCACAGGGTTAGTTAGGGTCAAGTCGATGCTAGGTCCCAGGTGTGCTTATTACACTGTTGTAAATAACCAACATAGCAGGCCACGTGTGGACTAACGGTCAGAGGAAGTGACGAGCCAGTTGCTAAGCTGAGCCCAGTGCTGTGTCCTGTGGGCAGGTGGGCACTGTGGCTTGATATTTTTTGGGAGAGACACAGTAGCTAGAGTGAGGGTGAGCCTGGATCCCGTAGAGCTGTAGGGTGAGGTCAAGAATGGAAGGGTTTTGAGCTGAGTGGCCTCATGATGGGGTTAAGATTTTAAAAGACTGTGCTGGAAGCTATGTGGGGAACAGACTCGGGGGTGTGTGTGCGCGTGTGTGTGTCGGGGCAGTCGGAGGCCCCTGAGCAGCAGAGGGGAGCAGGTGGGGAAAGACTGCCATTGTCCTGCAGGTTCTTGGCTACACAGGGTGTGCCCAGCCTGGGGGTCAGGCCTCTGAAGTCCTGTGCTTCTCTTGCCAGCCCACGTCCGGGTGTGGCTGTGCAGCCTGGAGGCAGGGCAGTGTTCAAAGAGCAGGGTGGGCTCTGTAGGCCTCAGGAGCCCCATGGTGGTGGGGGTGGCGAGAATGGGCGTGAGGGCAAGTGTATGGACACAGGACGCGTTTTCCTGATGGGCTGGACAAGACTTCTGATGAACAGACGGGGGGTAGTAAGGGGGCTGTGAGCCGTGTGACGCCTGGCGATTTCATCTGTGAGGGTATTGTGCTGTGTGTGGAGAAGGAAGAGCCAGGGAAGGTTCAGGTTTTGGGAAGAAAGTCACATTTTGAATATCCTAATTTGCAATGCTCGTAGGCACTGTGAATGTCAGGGAGGGGGCTGGACAAGAGTCTGACACTCGGAGGTTTCGGGGGCGGAGTCACAGCCCAGTTCCTGTACTTGGGTCATTGTCACCGTCCTTGTGAATTCCTTTAGGGCAGAGATGTCTGTCTTTCCTCCCCAGCAAAGCGCAGAGGAGCATGGTTATCCATGAATATTGGTTGAGTAGGTAAGAAGGACACGTGAGCCAGGGGAGGTGGGGGAAGCATCCGAAGGCTGGGTCTAATCTGATGGCGGGGCGAGGCCAGGCGATTAGGAGGGCGTGAGCCAGGGCTCACAGCTGAGTCCCGGGAGCTGTTCAGGGCAGCCAGAAGCAGCAGGGACTCCCAGTGAGGACGTGGGCCCAGGAGAGTTTTGAGGTCCAGTAAGGAGGAGGAGAGAGCCGGGAGCCTGCACAGGAGCTCAGCCAAGGCCGTGGCAGGAGACAGCGAAGTCCACAAGAGAAGACAGGGCTGAGGGGGTGCACGAAGAGGTTCAAGGATGTCGGTATGAATGGAGCCATGAGCTTCACCCCAAAGCCAGGGTATCACAGGCAGTCGTGAAAGACACCACGTAATTAGCTTGGGACTGGCTGCGACGTTGTCCTAGCCTCACGGGACCTCTGTGACATCACATTTACTGAATGGCGGCCCAGGCCTTTGCATACCCACAACCCACCGATCACCCTTCCAGGCCTGGTAGGCAGCACGTGGCTTGTGTGTGCGTTTGCGTGGTCTTTGCCATCCCCTCCCGGTGCTGGGACCGAGGGGCCGACGCTCCCCGATGCCGCCGTCTCCCCTCACTCCTGGGACTCCTGGTGTCCCAGCCTCTGCCCTCTCACAGCAGTCCCCAGCTCTCGACTCCTCCCTCTCCTCTCCTCCAATGGCACTTTGTCTCCTGCACCCTGGGGCATTTCCAAGCACCCAGCACTGTGCCTGGCACGTGGTCTGTGGGCAGAGACTGGGAGAGGGAGGGAGAAGGAAGGATTTTTCTTTTTCCTTTGGTTGTCAGTGGACCGCATGAGACCACCCTGTTCTCACGGATGACAAAGGCACAAGGCCCCTGTTTCCTCAGACCACTGAGAATGTAGGGTGTGAGTGTGTTAGGCTTGCAGTTCTGCTCTGGCTCTACCATATACAGTATGGAGCGGCCCCTTATCTCGCAGAGACTCAGTTTCTCCACTGTGACGTGTGGCTAAATAAAACCTCCCGAATAGCGGTGTCAGTGGCGTATCAGAAGGGCCCTGTGAGCTTTAGCCCTTGCAATGTCTCAGAGCATCTAATTGCCAGTGCCATCTCCATTGGCCAGCTTCAAGGAACGCTTCTGATTCTGAGAGTGGGGCTGCTTCTCCTGGGAGTCGGCACCTGGCGGCGGGAGGAGCCAGCTCTGGCAGATGGAGCGCATTCCTGGGCACACAGGCCTGTGCTGTTCTGTTTCT